TTGTCGTCATCTTGTTTTTAATATAGACTTATGAACTGAGACCTGATTTTATACAGTATTACAAAATCACCACGTTGGTAGTGTGTGGTGCCTCTCTTTTAGAATGCACTGTTTCCCATGAGCATGTAGGGCTATTATTACAATTTGGTGGATTATCCCTGCCTTCAGACTAAAGTTAGGTCTACATTTTTAACCCAATAAATAAAATTCCTAAATACCTAGATGTAGTATTTTTAAGGAAAGCTAGAAATGCAACTTTGATTTTTAATATTAGTTTTATTTGTTAGACAGAAAGATGATCCAAGACTTAGGCATCCTTTATTTTAATTCTTGCAGTGGTTTGGGACCAGAGGTATAAGACAGAGAGGAAAACAGACTTCGAGGTTTGCTCTGCCTCAAAATACTACTTCGTGTGTGCTTTCACATGTACTCTCTCTCTCCCCCCCGGTTTTTAAAATGTTGAGCATAACTTGCTTTTGCAATATCTTGAAAATACAGTTGCTGTTTATAGCTTTTATTTGAATTCTGATAACTTCTAGAAATTGAAGATAGGACAGTACTGGCCTGTCTGTAAACCCTCAAGGCTTTCTGGGCTGAGCAGTTCCCAGAAATACAATTTGGACAAATGGTAGGAAAAGTAAAGTAATTTTATTTTGTTCCTCAGATGGGGAGTTAAAGTACAGAAAACGCAGCTTGTTCAAACTCATACAAAATTTGTGAAAGCAGCTGGAGATTGAAACCTGAAACCTTTAGAATCCCTGTGTCTAAATGACAATTCACTTTTGACCATCAAATCTTACCACAATGTTCAGCGTTTGCTTCCCCAGGGTGGCAGCTCGGGGGGTGGCACAAGCAGCTCTGCTGCTCAGGTGGGCAGCACAGCTCACGGCGGCTCCGCCTCAGCCCCAGGAGAGCAAAGATGCTGTTTGGCCCCCTTTTTGGCCTTCCTGCTGCCTTAGGCTTGACTGGGGCCAGGAGAGATGTGCATCCAGATATTCTCATGGCTGGCAAACCTAAAGGAAAAGGAAATGCTTCTTTGGAGGGTAACTGTCTCTTAAATGTCGTTTCCTTCCCTCTCCCGCTGACCCAATCAATTGCCAGTGTGCATTTTGATGTAAGAAATTGAGAGAACACTAATTAAACTCACATTACTAGCGTCTAGTGACTCATCAGAACACACAGTATTACTCATGACTTGGATGTCAGCATGGTGTGTTTCACACATGGGTCTTCTCTGTCTATACTTGAAATTATCTCCCTACTTACACTGCTACTCTGCTTATTTATTGGTTGGTTTGTTTGTTGGTTTGGTTTTTTGTTTTTGTTTGTGGGTTGGTTTTTTTTTTGGGGGGGAGGGGTTGTGTTTATAGTATTTTATTGCTAATTTGTGACTCAAAAGATACTGCAAATTAATAATTCAGATGTCCTAAGTAACCTTGCAATTCAAATAGAAGCACTATATATTTCAAGAAAAACGGAATAACTTGTGACTGTGTCACAGAAATTCTTGGCTGCTCAAACTACATGCTAGAAGCAGAATTATACATCTGACCTCTCAGGGCTGCATTTACATCATGCTGAGATGCAATGCTTTCAGAACCTGTCAGGGTAGTCTTGTCATCCTTGCCTTCCTTGGGGAAGAAAGCAAACGCCTGAAGTATTTTCATTCAGATTATTCCATGTCAAGTTATTAACTGCTTGATCTCCAGAGCATCCTATTGCACAAATATGCAATCTCAAATGTTGGATGTTCCTGTCTTCTGAAATGGCAAGGTGTACCCCAAGGTCTCTGTTGTTAAAAGACAAGAGGGCAGCCTCTCCAGAACATGCCTCCATGAACCGGTTGGAAAGGTACAGCTGTCTGAAGTTGTGCTGCAGTGCCATGCACTTCTCTACAGTAGCAGTGATCTGCTGCTTCCAAACCAGACCTCTGAGCTGGTATTTGGACCCATAGGAAGGAACATAAAACATGACCACAGGCAGGGGCTTTTGCTCCATAGCATAAGAACTTCCCAACAGGCCTGGCTTTGCTTGTCTATCTTGCTGTTGTTGAAAGGCAAAGCCATCTTACTAGTTTTCCTTTTTCTAATTTTTGTTCTAATAGACCCTCTTCCCTTCCATCACTGTTCTTTCTGGATCGTAGAATCGTAGAATGTTGGGGGTTGGAAGGGACCTCTGGAGAACCCCCCTGCCCAGAGCAGGATCACCTAGGGCAGGTCACACAGAAACACATCCAGACAGGTCTTGAAACTCTCCAGAGAAGGAGACTCTACAAACTACAAAAATCTGTTGTGGTGGATCAGGAGCTGTGATGGCCCCTCTGCCTCTGGGCACTGACTTTCCCCCTGTCTTGGGCTGGTGGGTGAGGGAATCATTTTACTGATACTGACTGACTTCTGTGGTGCCCTATAGCCACTGTCATCTCCAGTGTGAGCCCTGGGGTGGGCTACTCAGAAGAAAGAAGAGTGTTGAATGATAGAAATTAGTACTGGTTTAATTCCCATGTGACAAGGTATTTAAGTCTTCCAAGATAGCAAAAAAAAAATATTAAATCCATCCCCCTCCCCTTGAATACTGGGGAAGTGCAGGTCTATTTTGTATTGTGCTGTGGGTTCTTTAAGCTGGGGTTTTATCAGTTTTGAAGTCTTAAAGCATCTTAAGTTCAGCGTGGTAAATCTCTATTAGGGAGTATTGCCAAATGAGCTTAGAAAAATAAATCCCTACATTTTAATATAGGGAATGGCAGTCACTCTAAATAATCCTAGGCACCATTGCATCTATAGTTTGTTTACAGAGAATTTATCTAAGGAAAATATCCCATTCTTTAAATTATGATTTTTGTTTTAAATAAACTAAAATTGAAGCACTAAGCTTTTTTCTTGGTTGTTTGTTTGTTGTTTTTTTTTGCAGACAGGGTGGGGTGTTGAGCTGTTTGGCAGGAGTTTGCTGTATCCTTGCACTCACCTTATTCCAGCTGAGCAATAATTGCTTAGGGCTTGTTTATGTTCTGCATCTTTTGATAACACAGTATATTCTTAATGAAAACACAGAACTTGGTGCTTCCCTGCCTATAACCTTGGAAAAATATATACTGTATCAATTTTTTTAGAAAGGTCAGATATTAGCCTGTGAATCAATTTATATGTAGTCAGCTGCTGACTGTTAAAAAAAAAAAAAAAGGTTCATAAATAATCAGTTGCTGAGTTAACATTTGCACTTTGATGAGAAGTTTCTGAATATTAAATACTAGACGTGAGACCTGATAGATCTAGAATCTCTTTGAACTTGACATGCACAATAATGTAGGACTTGAGATCAAACACTCCTAGTGAAAATGATATGCAACTAGGACTCGTTTTAGACTCAGGCCCATAGATGCTATTGTGGTTTTATTCAGGAAAGGCCAGGTATTCATGTAGAATGGTGAAAACATCATGAATCTGTGAGGAACTTCAAAAGTGTCAGTTACCCATGCCTGTAGCAAAAGCTAGAATTCGAAATGTCCTCTGAATTTTTTCAAAACTAATCAGGCCCATAAGGTAACAGTGTAGCTGTTAACAGTAAATGCAAATTTAATTTTATTTTTTGCATTGTTTGTTCCATTTTACAAACAGAAATCTAGACAATGAGTTGTTCTTTATCTGGTACTTGCTATGATGCTGTGCTCAGAAATTCAGAAAGGCTTACGCCTCAGAGTGAAATAAGGCTTAACTGTTACTAGGCTAAAGTGTGTCCAGCTAGTTGGCAATTAAGATTTTTTGAAGTAGTGGTAAGTAAAATTAGCATTTTGAAGGACAGCTTGCTTTTGGGTGGTTTTTGCAAGATCTGTATCATGCTTTAACTATGGTCACTTGCTTCCCTGACCAGAGTTAGGTCTCAGAAACGAGTAGAGCTATCTGCACTGCAAGTGAAAGCAAAGCAAGGCTCTGGAATAAGGAAAGAACTGGTCCTTCCAGAGTTGTTTCTCTTCCTTCAGTGGGACATTAGAATTTTAAAACCCGCTTGTCTATGTATACTCATTACATCTAATCTTTTATCTTGGAAGTAAATGGCGTTGTAACATGTTGCCAAATATTTCAAAGACTATAATGGAAGATTGTCTCTTAAACTACACTGTAGAGCTTTTTTATTTTTATTTTAATGCAAAATATCTGTGGCTTTCAAAATGCATCTACAACTGTTCTACTGTTTTAGTGCCACTATTACAATGTTTTAGTGCTGTCCACTGCTGTCTTGGATGACACTGGGTGACTTGACTACAATTACATTATCTGACTGCAGCAGTTTGCTTGCAGTTCAGACTTTTCAGAATTATTTGTATGTAGCTACATAAGAGAAAGTAAGTTGTTTTGCTGGGGTTTCTACTGTCTGGGAATTGCTTAGCCATGGGTAAAGGTATTATATTATTATATACATAAAGATCAGAAGTTCATAACTGTGTCTTTGTGAAGGGCTTTGAAATACTCTTCTTCTTTAACCCTGAACAGAGTCAGATGGAGTTCAGCGTTGCATCTCTGTCCATACAAGAACAAAGTGGTGCCCAGTTGCAAAATGAACAGAGGCAGCCCATTAAAGCAACACCTGGTGTCCCAGTCCCTAAATCTTCTCAGGCCAGTAAGAACCCTGGCTCTGATGGGTTGATAGCATCCAGAAAGGAAGAGGAGTCCTCTTTCTGGAAGATAAATGCGGAGCGCTCCAAGTTTGAAGGAGACAAGTCTGAATTCCAGTCCCTGACTCCCAGCCAGATCAAGTCAATGGAGAAAGGAGAGAAACCTCTTCCCTCTTTTTACAGACAAGAGTCTATTCCAAAAGAGATGGCAAAAGCTGAGAAGCCCAACATAACTAAACCAGAGAAGTCTGTTGCCCCCAGCCTACCTTCTGTATCACTCGAATGGGAGAAACCTCGACCCACTCAACTCCCTGTTAGTTCTCTAGATGACTTCCTTCTTCCTGACCCACCACAGGACCTGGCATCTTCTAGGACAAACAAAGAAGATATTGATGGTACTATACTTACAGATCCACAAACGCCTGGACAGGTAAGGGCTGCTATATCCAGTGTCCTTAGATTTAAAAACTGTATAGCACATTCAAATCTAGCAAGGCCACTCTGCAAGTTTAGGGACTCCATAAAGCATTAAGCTGTAGGTAAGCTTGACGGCTTTTTATTCTGCAGATTTAAACTCCATGTAACCAATGTGTTAACTGCTATTGTTTGTTTCAATCAGTTGTTTTTTAATGTAGTAAAGTGCATAGGATAAAGGCATCGTTTGAGTACAATGCCAGAAACACTGACATGTCATCCAGTGGCTGACAGCAAGCTACGTAACAGCTTGGGGTAAAGAGCTTGCTGTATCAAGTAAAAGAGTTTTGGTTTTGCTTGTGGGTTTGTTGTGTTTGTTTGTAGTTTTTTTCTTGAAACATCAAAACACGTAATGGAAAAAGTTTTTTAGCTTGAAAAGTAGATAAACTAGAGTCTAGGGTACTTCACTGGTATCCTTAGTGAATGGCAGACTAGTTTCTGAGCTGTTTTAAGTGGTAGCCCCACAGCAACTTCCCAGTGCTTTGTCCTGGACAGCATGACTGCTTTCAAATATATTTTTTCTTAAAGTCCAAAATGAAATGAGCTTCCAGAATTAGCCTTCACAATGTTGTTTTTTTTTTAAATAAAAAAACCCAAACAACCCAACAACAAGAAATAACCTTCAGCAGCTAAATAGCCAATTGAAGTTATTTAAAAAGCAGATGCCAATCTGTGAGAAAAGAAAGGGAACAGCAGGATATGATATGGTGAGGGAAAGAAAAGGAAGAGATCTGGAGCCTGAAAACCCTGCAGTAGAGGAATAGTTCTTCAAACAGAGCTGTGCAGTTCTGTTGGGAGTGTGTAGCATCACCCTGGCATAAGCCTGACATATTACTAAACACCTTAAGCATGTTACACAGCTTTTTCTCTACCGTATTTTCCCAACAGTGATTGTTTAAATTCTGAACAAGATGATATAAGGTCAGAAATATGCAGGATGCGGTAAATCCTTGCAAGAGAAGTGGCAGCACTTGAGAGAACAATACTTGAGCCACTTTGGTATTTGGAGTGTTTTGTTTTTTTCTGAAGCTGAAACATAATTATTCTTCAGCTGTTTTGCTACAAATTGTGAGCACGGTAGTCCTTTAGTTTTGGTTAAAGGTTTTATCATGTTTTCCTACAGGTTAATGTTTTGCTGCAGCTTTAATTTTTTTGGTGAATATATTCTAGCTAACTGAAATAGTGTGAGAAGCCTGATTTTTCTCTCTATGGAGAAACAATCCTCACATGTCAAGATGTTAACAAAGCAGCAGAGAAGACAGTATGATAGGATTTTCTGATTCCTTTTTTCTCTGGATTATCTTCCCTGTCCTGGGGACGAGAGCCATTCTCTAGGAGGAGAATTCAGAGACTCAGCTGTGTCCCTTGAGTAGTCTTCCTGAACACTATAATTACCTTAAATGTCATGGCTAAAAGTGCAGCACTGCAGGAATAAGTATGTTCTGGTTAATATAGTAAATAAATTGTCAACAAAGTTTAGACTGTAGTTTTCTGGAAACAACTGGCTGTAGTTGCAACAGGCAATCCATTGAACTAGTGATGCTTACCTTCTGTGTTTGGTTCTCTGCAGTTCCCACTCAGCTTTAAAAATTGATCTTTATTAATTTTTCCATGGGAAAAACCCCAACATTTGACCTGCAGACCACTACAAGAATTTGACTTTTATTTGGAATTGCCGTTTTGCTCACTGTGAGCATGTCCAGCATTTTCTGGTATATGTTCTTAGGGATCCTAGAGCAAGGTGAAGAACTGGAATACTGGCAGGCAGCATTTTAATAACTTCCTTCTGTAGACAGGCAGTCAAGCAGTGGGTTTTTAATACCATCATTAGCAACCACATCTTACTTTTTTTTTCACTTTTTTTTTTTTCCTTTTCTCTTTCCTTGCAGACTAGTACAAGCAATGTTATCTTGAAGACTGGCTTTGATTTTCTAGACAACTGGTAAAAAATACTTCAAATAGATCAAACCAATTTTGGGGAAGGAGTGGAACATCTTTCTCCTTGTATGTTAATTTACTAGCATTTGTGTCTTTTTCTAGATGTAACTTTCAAACTCTTAAATGTTGCCTTTGTATAAACTTTTGTAATACCATGTGTTTTTGTTTTTTAAACAGTGATAGAAGTGTGGTTTCATTTGGATATTTTTAAATATGTTAAAATTTTTAGTAGCTACTGTATGAAGAGGATGGGAGAAGTCACCATACACATGTTAAAGAAAAACAAATGAGAGTCTCCATATCCTAGAAATGGAACCTGCAGGACCAGATTCCTGTTTTCAACTGAAACCTTCCTAGTATGCAAATAATTCCATACTTCAGATAACTAAAAAAAACAAAACAGTATAAAAAACAAGCATACAGAAGAATTCAATTGATTTCTATGGTCCATTTAGTTTGAAAGTAACTTTTGTAACACATATTTGAAAACGCTTTTCTTCTGAAGAGGGCAAAGGCATTGCCAAAACAATGGATCCATAGAAGCACTGTTTGTACCCTACAAATCTGCTAAAATAACATTAAAAATGTAAGAAAAATGACCTGGGGAAATGACAGATGTTTCTGGTCTTTGGATTAAAGACTTGAGAGTGGATGGAGGGGAATGGGACAACACCTAATGAATGGGAGAAACTGTCTTCAGGGAACACAGGCATAGTGATTTCACAGCCTCCTTACTAGAGCATAACTCTTCATAATAGTAGTGCTGGAAGTACAGCACTGGGAATTGCTGGAGTGTAGATTACCTTTGTGTCAGGAAACCACTACATGTATGGGAGGTCATAGCAGTATAAGGCTTCTTTGTTTTTTAAGCAGCTTATTGTCTCAAGGACTCGGCGACTTTGGTGCTTTTTCCTCCTTGTGGGTACATTCTCTTAAATGTTCAACATCTGGGTTACATTTGTTCCTGAGGTGCAGAGCTAGTACAAGCAATGTTATCTTGAAGACTGGCTTTGATTTTCTAGACAACTGGTAAAAAATACTTCAAATAGATCAAACCAATTTTGGGGAAGGAGTGGAACATCTTTCTCCTTGTATGTTAATTTACTAGCATTTGTGTCTTTTTCTAGATGTAACTTTCAAACTCTTAAATGTTGCCTTTGTATAAACTTTTGTAATACCATGTGTTTTTGTTTTTTAAACAGTGATAGAAGTGTGGTTTCATTTGGATATTTTTAAATATGTTAAAATTTTTAGTAGCTACTGTATGAAGAGGATGGGAGAAGTCACCATACACATGTTAAAGAAAAACAAATGAGAGTCTCCATATCCTAGAAATGGAACCTGCAGGACCAGATTCCTGTTTTCAACTGAAACCTTCCTAGTATGCAAATAATTCCATACTTCAGATAACTAAAAAAAACAAAACAGTATAAAAAACAAGCATACAGAAGAATTCAATTGATTTCTATGGTCCATTTAGTTTGAAAGTAACTTTTGTAACACATATTTGAAAACGCTTTTCTTCTGAAGAGGGCAAAGGCATTGCCAAAACAATGGATCCATAGAAGCACTGTTTGTACCCTACAAATCTGCTAAAATAACATTAAAAATGTAAGAAAAATGACCTGGGGAAATGACAGATGTTTCTGGTCTTTGGATTAAAGACTTGAGAGTGGATGGAGGGGAATGGGACAACACCTAATGAATGGGAGAAACTGTCTTCAGGGAACACAGGCATAGTGATTTCACAGCCTCCTTACTAGAGCATAACTCTTCATAATAGTAGTGCTGGAAGTACAGCACTGGGAATTGCTGGAGTGTAGATTACCTTTGTGTCAGGAAACCACTACATGTATGGGAGGTCATAGCAGTATAAGGCTTCTTTGTTTTTTAAGCAGCTTATTGTCTCAAGGACTCGGCGACTTTGGTGCTTTTTCCTCCTTGTGGGTACATTCTCTTAAATGTTCAACATCTGGGTTACATTTGTTCCTGAGGTGCAGAGAGGCATCTCAAGGTGGCCCTCGGCAGACTTGTCTCCAGTTCTGCTTTGGAATGATCTTTGGTGTTTAAAATGTAGAGAACAAGACTAGCTGTTTTTTGAATCTGTTGTCTCTGAAATGCAGCATGATTTACACACTGACTCTCACTGTGTTTACCTCACCTTGAAGCCTTAATTCCCCCTACGCACAGCCAGTGACTGGTCTGCTCCAATGCCAAAGGTTTGACCTTTCCCTTTGCCTCAGCAATAGTCCCATAGCATTTGTTTGGGGTAGAAGGCAAAACACAGGGCTCTAATAGGTCTAATGGGTCCCAGCCAAGGCTATAAGAAGGTCATCATCTCCTAGACCATAATTGTGCTAGGCTTCTCATGGATTAGCACTTGATATTTGCTTCAGTGCCAGGGGCAGTTAAATGTGCAGAATTGGATGCTGCAGGATTTTCTTCTGCCTGTTACAGGAAGAGTTTGAGAAGTCCTGGAAGAATCCTTGCCTCTTAATTGGTGTACAGCTTGCTCTGAACAAGCAGAGGATGCTGATAGAGCACTAAAACTTACTTGCTGATCAAGGAAAATGCTTGAGTAGGTACTTCCTTCCCCCCTCAAAAGAAAAATAGAATCACCAAGCCCCAAACCTCCGGTTTTTCTAGCGTTTTCTTAAAAGTTTTCTTAGCTAAAGCAGAGTATAAGTAATGGTGTAGCCATATTTATAGACTTCTTAAAGCTTCTTTACATGCTTCCTGAGATGTACAAACTCCTGTAATTTGTGGATATTGGCTCTGGATTCAGCAGTTCAAAAAATACTTGTTTCTACCAGCCTGGACTTTTCTGCTGGGTCTTTTTAGCTGACCTTTTTTAGCACTTGCCACAAGCATCTGGCACTATGATAGCTTAAAACAACTTTAGCACAAATTCTTTAGGTATATAATTAGTATTGACTTGGACCTTCTTTTCAAAGCTGACAAGTGTTAACCCTGGGGTTTACAGTGAATCTAATTTTCTTTACATTCAGCTCCTGAAAAAGTTATAAATCCAACATGAAGATGTACATTCTAATCTTCCTTTGATACAGAGAGATCTGAAAGTGAAGTCTCCTGCTGTTGAGCAGTGTTATTTTAAAACTCTGCTAAATACCTTAAAGTTTCTTAGGGAAGAACCTGGGCTGCCTGTCTCTTCCATCGGCAAACTCAACCCTAATACACATTGGGACCAGCTGGTAGAACATGCTGCAGAACTTTTTACTTATCCTGGTAGGTTTTTCTTGTGCTTTGACAAGAGTTGATGCTCCTTCTTTCTTGAATATGTTTTTATTAAACATTCTTACAAAAAAAAATAATTGTACTTGGTCACATTTTATATTAACGATGTTTTAATAAAGTCACTTTAAATAGAACATTTAAGGCTTTTGTGCTGCTTTATGTATTATCCTTTATCCTCTGCTTTCCTCAGTGCCACTGCAGTGGTTTGGGGCATCTTGAATCTGCCAGAGAGGCAGCCAAGTGGATGGGGGAGAGAATCAGAAGGGTAAAAGGCCAAGAGTTCAGGAGTTGAGGTAAAGGCAGGTTTAATAGGCAAAGGAAAAGCCACGCATGCAATCAAAGCAAAATGAGGAATTAATTCATAACTTCCCATCAATGGGCTCAGTGTACTTGCTCCAAATGACCAGAACTGGTACTGACAAACTTTCAGGCAGTTTTCCTGTCAGTGGGTGGTTATGTATGGATTTACAAAGCATATCACAAGGAGGAAGATGCTAACAGAGGTCACTGGTTAGTCTCACTTTCTGCCTTTTATCTCATGCAGCAAGTTCTTGAAGTATAAGAGAATCAAACATGCAGCTACAAGGATAGTTTTTCTTCTGTGTGCCCACGTCCAGAATGTATTTTGAAAAACAAACTCAATTTGGTTTACACTTGAACTGAATTTCTACTGACAACTAAAAAGGCATTTGAAGAAGAACTTGCTTGGAGAAACTTGACAGCCAAGTAAGGGGTGGTATTCTAACTATATTTAGTTAAGATCTGGCCTACACACAGTTTGCTTCAATCTTGTTTAAGCTCTGTCTTAACTTCTAAAAGTCCTTTCTAATAAAGGCAAATTCACAGCATCTGGGTCTCATGCCTGAGTGAAGATTTGTAAAGGCAGAGTAGAAAACAGGCTGGGGCTGCCTGCTGAAGGACAGTCTTCAGTTTTTTTATGGATGACTTGAGTCACGGTTGCTGAGGTTCAGACAGCACAGAGCTGCCTTTGAGGTCAGGGCTGTGGGTGCTGGAGAAGCACCCAGCAGGCAGAGTCCCATTCATCACTCAGCAACAGCATCCCCCAAAGAGCTCACAAGTCACATCCCAGAGATAGAAACCTGATTTCATAGGCATTATCCAGACAGGCCCCTGGGCTTTGCTCTCTTGAGTTTGCCTGTGACCTGCTTGAATCAGTATGTTCTTGTTACGGTGAGGACAGACCTGTAATTTGGCTGTCCTGCATTTGTGAGTTAGTGCCAGTGAAAGCCTTTACAGAGCAGGTAAGCCAGGCAATCCTGATTCTTCTCAACAGGACACTTTCTACAGTTCTGCTGAAAAATCTCTACTATTGTCCCCTTTTCACAAGTGGACTGTATCTCTCAGCACATAATATAACCAAGTAGTTCACAATGAAGATCTACATTTAATCTGATCTCCCACCATCCAGAAAGCCCTGACACCACCCTCTAGAGTCAATGTGAGGTGAGAGATGATGGCAAGACTTGCATCCCTAATCCAGCAGTTCCCCAGTGGTACTGAGCTGCACCCAAAGGATGCTGATCTAAGGCCAAGTTTATTCCATTCTAATGGAGTAGAGGAAGAAATCTCACAATTAGCTCATCCCTTGTCTTTCAACGGACCCTCTGTTCCCTAAGATCTTCTTCCTAGGGGCATTGCTCCTTCCTGTGCTCCTCCTTGCTGTTCAAGTTGAAGATGCCAAGGGACAGGCCACAGCTCATCCTGCTCCTTGCCAGCAGCCTGGTTTTCTTGCCAGGACAAGGGCACGTGTTTGCATAGTGAAGGTACCTTCCCTTAGGGCAGCTGCTGAGGTGTGCAACTGCACGTTGCCCCTGAGCCAGGCTTGCCTGAAGCCTGGCAGCCATCTCTCTACCCACTTTCAGCCCAGCACATTACTTTTAAAGCTGTTTTTTTTCTTTTAATTTTTATTTTATTATTATTATTAAGCATCACCATGGATTTTACTCTGAAAGTCTTCTGGGGCAAAAGATTCCATTAGGCAACCTCTAAATCACAGCATTTATCAGCTCTGCTGCCTAATGGCTGCAAAACTTGGACCTCATACAGGACCAAGATACAGGGCTAAATGCCCTTGGCAGGTCAGGATTGTACTGGGCTGCCAACAAGTCAAAAGCCATGTAGCTACCCTGAAAATAGCTTACTGCAGTTTTCCTGTAATGCTTGTCTCCAAACAGAATGAGGGAATTAAAACAGAAAAAAAAAAAAAAAAAAAAAAAGGGGAGAAAAGGGA